GAATTTTAAGTGTAGTGATCAAAATAACCTGCACATCAATGTAAACATCAGTTTAGTCTGATGATGTCCTAAAGGATGAAACTTGTCAAATGAAATATGTTTTCCACTTTGTCATTAACTTTCCTAATAAAAGATTCTATGAACACAAATGCGATTTTTTTTTACAAAACATTATACTCAATACATTTGTCATTTATTGTAATAGAAATGGCCATAATTTCAACTTTAATTAAAAGGGAAAGCAATTTAAGGTGAATATATATGGAAAGTTCACTAATTTCCGAATCTTACATGATGAGTTTATTATGCAATGTATCTGCTCTCCTCCCAAAACTACTGCTACGAAAATGAGATAATTAAAAACAAAAATGACAACTAAATTAAATTGGCTAAGTTAATCATCAACTTACAATGAATGCTAAAGATTACAATTAAAAGCTTACTGTCCTTTAATAATAATTTAGTTTGTTTTGTTTGATTTGTTTGTTTAAAGGCATATCAACTCCTTATGGGTCATTTAATGCTGAAATTTAATTTTCTTGTGATCTGTGAAATAATAAAAATATGTTATTCTGCTTTCACATGGTGAATACATGGTAGATGATACTCAGATTTTGAGAATGTACATATTTGTGTGGACATGATTACTAGAGGAAGTGATATTTGTGTTATATATTGGAGTTTTGTTAAAGTTATATTTTGGAATACAGTTTGATTTTCTTAAGAAATTGTAGAATATTATAGGGTTGAATGTCATGAAAGATTTTTTCATGTTGGTTGATTGTTTGATTTTGTTTAGTGCCATATCAACCTCTATGGGTTATTTAATGTTGAAATCTAAATATTTTGAACACAATTTTATGGCTTCAACTAAATATATTATGAATGCAATTGTCTGCCTTCAACTACAGATAAAATGTATTGTTGGTCATTTTATTATAAATATGTATTGTTGGTTGGTTGATTTTATTTAGTGGCATATCAACACCTCTATGGGTTATTAAATGCTGAAATCTAAATATTTTGAACACAATTTTATGGCTTCAACTAAATATATTATGAATGCAATTGTCTGCCTTCAACTACAGATAAAATGTATTGTTGGTCATTTTACTATAAATATGTATTGCTGGTATTTTAACTATGAAAATGTAATTTTATACTTTCATAGACTTTAGATTTGTATGTGGGGGGGTTACTATTTACCACCCTAAGTCAGTGTGGACATGGGAACAACAGCAATTAAGAGGTGGTTCCACACTCCTCAAGACTTTCATTCTCTTAATCAGATACAGGAAACTGGAACAGGGTTTCACAGTACTAGCAATTTCCACAGTAAAATGATGAGACCTAGCTGCCAATCTAGTAGTATGAGTGGATTCAATGGAAAGCCATGATTGCCGACATTCTGAATGGATATGGTGGAAAAAAATAAATTGTGATTAAAAATACTAAAAATGATTTGCAAATGGTTAACGCTTTTACTGAACAATAATTAGAAAAAAAAAAAGAAAAATTAAAAAAATTTTATAGCTTCAATAGAAGGGAACAAAAAGTTAGATTTTCAAAAACTCCATGTAAATCATGGTGAACTTTGGGAAAAGTGGAGAACCCATAGCTAAGCCATCTTTTAAACAATACATTTCAATCTCTAACTGAAAATATTTCATACTTACACAAAAGTGATCATTTCCATTACATAGTCATGGAGGATATGAAAGTGATTCCTGGAAGATGCCTCATTAAAGAAAATATTTCAATCATTTATCTAAATTATAATAACTGTAATAGTAAAATGGTTAATAGTTCTGAGCAATAACATGACTGTAGTCATATTCGAAACAAGGTTCAATTAGTTTATAAGAAGTAGAATCCATTTTGGGGGCTGAGATAATTATAAAGTTTTTAGTTATCATGAAAATCAGTTTTCATAAAAATCAAGATATTGAACACCAACACTGAAAACAAATACGCCCTTCCCATTCAGAAGAGCAACACAACACAATCTTCATTCTGGTCTTATAATAGATTAAGTTAATATTCAGAACTATCTAAGAAATTAAGCTTTATGATTTAGAAATAACATTCTGATAAAAAACTCATAGTTTATATAAATACTACAACAGAAATTAACGTGTCAAACAGTTTTAAACTTTTACAAAGTATTTTCTTTTAAGATTTCATACAATTGTAATTGAAAATAAAAAGAGAAAAGGTTTATTAAATATTCAAGTTTACGTGTTTAAAATGCTAATGTTTATATAAAGATAATCATACAACACTATTTGTATCAATAGTATATAAAATGTAATTAAAGAAAGACTTGTCACTAGCCTAAGACCATAACACTTCAATATTAAATGTAAATAAGGTAAGTTTCTGTGCGAAGTGGAGGTATTTGTTAGGGTAATGTTTACCCAGATGCCATAGTACTTGTCCCTAGCCTAACTCCATAATACTGGAATATTAAATGTAAATAAAGGAAGTCTACTATGTAAAGTGGAGGTATCTGGTAGGCTAATGTTTACCCAGATGCCATAGACTATCAGTACTTGTAACTAGCCTAACTCAAAAATACTGGAATATTAAATGTAAATAAGAAAAGTCTTCTATGTGAAGTGGAGGTATCTGGTAGGCTAATGTTTACCCAGATGCCATAGACTATCAGTACTTGTCCCGAGCCTAACTCCATAATACTGGAATATTAAATGTAAATAAGGGAAGTCTTCTATGTGAAGTGGAGGTATCTGGTAGGCTAATGTTTACCCAGATGCCATAGACTATCAGTACTTGTCCCTAGCCTAACTCCATATTACTGGAATATTAAATGTAAATAAGAAAAGTCTTCTATGTGAAGTGGAGGTATCTGGTAGGCTAATGTTTACCCAAATGCCATAGACTATCAGTACTTGTCCCGAGCCTAACTCCATAATACTGGAATATTAAATGTAAATAAGGGAAGTCTTCTATGTGAAGTGGAGGTATCTGGTAGGCTAATGTTTACCCAGATGCCATAGACTATCAGTACTTGTCCCGAGCCTAACTCCATAATACTGGAATATTGAATGTAAATAAGGGAAGTCTTCTATGTGAAGTGGAGGTATCTGGTAGGCTAATGTTTACCCAAGATGCCATACACTATCAGTACTTGTCCCAAGCCTAACTCAATAATACTGGAATATTAAATGTAAATAAGGGAAGTCTTCTATGTGAAGTGGAGGTATCTGGTAGGCTAATGTTTACCCAGATGCCATAGACTATCAGTACTTGGCCCTAGCCTAACTCCATATTACTGGAATATTAAATGTAAATAAGAAAAGTCTTCTATGTGAAGTGGAGGTATCTGGTAGGTTAATCTTTACCCAGATGCCATAGACTATGAGTACTTGTCCCGAGCCTAACTCCATAATACTGGAATATTAAATGTAAATAAGGGAAGTCTTCTATGTGAAGTGGAGGTATCTGGTAGGCTAATGTTTACCCAGATGCCATAGACTATCAGTACTTGTCCCTAGCATAACTCCATAATACTGGAATATTAAATGTAAATAAGGGAAGTCTTCTATGTGAAGTGGAGGTATCTGGTAGGCTAATGTTTACCCAGATGCCATAGTCTATCAGTACTTCTCCCGAGACTAACGCAATGGTACTCTAATGTCATTGATAATAGTGAGGATCTTTTATGACATCAATTATAAATATTATGAAATACTTAATTTTTCTATCATAATATGCCTTACATTCTTTCAATTTTGTACTTTAATAGTATTATTCTCGTATTATTTTTGTATTTATTTATTTTTTAATATTCCCAAATATTGAAAGATGCAAATAAAAATAAATATCAGATATTTTCTTTCAACTAAATCAGGCAATAAAAAATCCTTTGAACAAATAATTTTTTTCATTTAAATTTTTCTTTTGATGAATGAAGATAAAAAAATAAAATTTTGAAAAATTAGTAAAAAATTGAATTTTTTTTTCGGGGGGAGGGGGATGTGGAAATGGGTAGGTAAATCATTCATGGTGGGTGTCAATTTAGTAAAATAATAAAGAGAAAAATACAGATATTTTTTTCTTCAGTTTTTTATTTTTTTTATTCTGATTTAATTTGATCAAAAACAATTTTAACAGATCTCTTTATAAATAATAATCTATAATAATAATTTTTAAATGAATTTCTTCTAAATTTATATTTATTACACATCTTTTCCTTTTATAGATAACAGCATTTAATTCAAATTTATTGATTGTGGTGACAAGTCATAGCATGAATGAGATTCATATAATAAATTAACCATTCATAATTTATAGAAAAATATCTAAATTAAAATTTAGAATATTTAATTAAAGCAAAACATTAGTATAATAAAAAAAACTAAATTAAAATTTGTTCAAATTATTTAAACAAACAATATATTATAACAAAAATAAATTTAAAATCTATTTACCAAATTTAAAAAAAAATAAACATTCATGATAAATATAAGAAGAGAAAAAATTAATTAAAATCTATTTTACCGATTGTGTAATTTCCAAATGCTTTTGAACAGGAACACATTCTTCAGAAATATAATATGTCTTATTTATTTCTCTCAGATTTGGGCAGATGAAAGTTAAGTACAGAAATATATTTGGTGTATGCGTACAATTTGCCAGATGAGGTCAGCTGATCTGGACATTTGGGGAATTCCCAGATATTTCTTGAATAAAAAATGGAAGTTAAAATATTTCAATCTGCAAATTAATTACACAAAAATTGCTGGAATGTATTGCAAGAAGAAACGGTTAAAATATTCTGTGTTGACAGAAAACCAAAATGTCTGTATTCTTATGAATGGAGAGACAGAAAAAGAGTGAGAGAGAGATAGGCTTTCATTTACTATTATGTTTTTTCTGACTTTTTGGGGGCTCCTTTTTTTTTTTTTTTTGCTCAACTTATTCTTAATGGTTTCTCTGAGAGGGTCTTCCTTGATTCTAACTTTGAATTCAAATCTATCTTATACAGTGGTTTCATTGCTGAAAGTTAATGCATTGTAAATACGTAATGTTGTCTGTAAGATGTCCGCTGCTGCTGCTGTCTTCTTCTTGTCTTCCTTTCTGCATTGTAATTCTTTGATGGTTCTCTTGCAAACAGAGAATTGGAGAGGAAGAAAAGAAAGGCATTTGGAGGGGGAGAAGTGAAAAGAGAGAAAGGATAAGCAGAATTGAATAGAGGAGGGAGCAAAAGAGGAAGATCTATTGATATTGAAGAGGGAGAGGAGAAAAAGGGAAAGATACTGACACTGTAGAAAGAGGTGAGATGAAAAGAGAAAGATACTGATATTAAAGAGAGAGGTGAAATAAAAAGAGAAAAATACAGATATTAAAGAGAGAGGGGATACAAAAGGGGGAAGATATATTGATCTTGAAGAGAGAGAAGAGAAAAAAGAAAAAGATACTGAAACTGAAGAGAGAGGGGAGAAAAAGGGAAAGATATTGACAATGAAGACAGGTGAGATAAAAAGAAAAGATATTAAAGAGAGATGTGAGATGAAAAGAGAAAGATAGTGATATAAGAGAAATGAAAGAAAAAAAGGAAAGATGCTGATATCAAAGAGAGAAAGAAATAAAAGAAAAAGGGAAAGATAGTGATGTTAAAGAGAGAAATAAAAGAAAAAGGGAAAGATAGTGATGTCAAAGAGAGAAATAAAAGAAAAAGGGTAAGATAGTGATGTTAAAGAGAGAAGTGAGAGAAAAAGGGAAAGATAGTGATGTCAAAGAGAGAAATGAGAGAAAAAAGGAAAGTGATGTCAAAGAGAGAAGTGAGAGAAAAAAGGAAAGTGATGTCAAAGAGAGAAATAAAAGAAAAAGGGTAAGATAGTGATGTCAAAGAGAGAAGTGAGAGAAAAAAGGAAAGTGATGTCAAAGAGAGAAATAAAAGAAAAAGGGTAAGATAGTGATGTCAAAGAGAGAAGTGAGAGAAAAAAGGAAAGTGATGTCAAAGAGAGAAATAAGAGAAAAAGGGAAAGATAGTGATGTCAAAGAGAGAAATAAAAGAAAAAGGGAAAGATAGTGATGTCAAAGAGAGAAGTGAGTGAAAAAGGGAAAGATAGTGATGTCAAAGAGAGAAATAAAATAAAAAGGGAAAGATAGTGATGTCAAAGAGAGAAGTGAGTGAAAAAGGGAAAGATAGTGATGTCAAAGAGAGAAATAAGAGAAAAAGGGAAAGATAGTGATGTCAAAGAGAAATAAGAGAAAAAGGAAAGATAGTGATGTCAAAGAGAAGTGAGTGAAAAAGGGAAAGATAGTGATGTGAAAAGAGAAATAAGAGAAAAAGGGAAAGATAGTGATGTCAAAGAGAGAAGTGAGTGAAAAAGGGAAAGATAGTGATGTCAAAGAGAGAAATAAAAGAAAAAGGGAAAGATAGTGATGTCAAAGAGAGAAGTGAGAGAAAAAAGGAAAGTGATGTCAAAGAGAGAAATAAAAGAAAAGGGGAAAGATAGTGATGTCAAAGAGAGAAGTGAGAGAAAAAGGGAAAGATAGTGATGTCAAAGAGAGAAATGAGAGAAAAAGGGAAAGTGATGTCAAAGAGAGAAATGAGAGAAAAAAGGAAAGTGATGTCAAAGAGAGAAATAAGAGAAAAATGGAAAGATAGTGATGTCAAAGAGAGAAATAAAAGAAAAAGGGAAAGATAGTGATGTCAAAGAGAGAAGTGAGTGAAAAAGGGAAAGATAGTGATGTCAAAGAGAGAAATAAGAGAAAAAGGGAAAGATAGTGATGTCAAAGAGAGAAATAAGAGAAAAAGGGAAAGATAGTGATGTCAAAGAGAGAAATAAGAGAAAAAGGGAAAGATAGTGATGTCAAAGAGAGAAATAAGAGAAAAAGGGAAAGATAGTGATGTCAAAGAGAGAAGTGAGAGAAAAAGGGAAAGATAGTGATGTCAAAGAGAGAAGTGAGTGAAAAAGGGAAAGATAGTGATGTCAAAGAGAGAAATAAGAGAAAAAGGGAAAGATAGTGATGTCAAAGAGAGAAATAAGAGAAAAAGGGAAAGATAGTGATGTCAAAGAGAGAAGTGAGAGAAAAAGGGAAAGATGCTGATACTGAAGAGAGAGCGGTTTATTACAATGGTGAAGAAGGAAGATAATTTCAATAGATGAATGACTGAAATGCTGACATCTTGAATCCCTGTAATTATTATAAATACAGACACAATTTTCATTATTTTCTAACAAAAACTGCATATATTTGGTACCAATGCCTGAATTCATGTGAGTCGACCTTTTTTTTATAGAACACGGAAAACATTTTATTTATTTATAAGAGAAATTAGAAAGTATTAAACATGAAATAAACAAACCATTCTGAAAAAAAAATCATAAAAATCTTAAAATATACAAATAAATAGATAAGTATACAAATGATTTGGGAAAAAAATCTCTATAGAAATTAAAGTTCGTAGTATTTCTAAAAAAGCAAAAAATGTTCATGCCAATAATTCCCTCTTGGACATTTGTAAATCTACCATTCACCTGTCCATTGAATAATGCTGCGATATCTGATCTGGTGATCTTAATCTACAAGGTTCATTCAAATATTTCTAAGCTTCAGCTAGATAGAAGAGCCATTGCACTTGCTGGCTATTGTGGTATGTGGGGGCTTCCTTACTTTGCTTGATTCAGCATTAGCAGCAATAAAAAATAATCAGCAGGAAACAACAGGAAGTCCCAGAACTCATAAAAATACTGACCGAGCCCTATTCAATCTCTTTTTCCGCTTTTTTCTGTCAGCATTATATATACCAAAGAAATTTTGTATTTTTTCTGATACTTTACATAGGGTAGGCAGACTGAAGCTGTTTTCTGAGTGTTGTTATCCTCTTGTACCCTTCTATACCATTTTGTCAGAGCTGTTGCCATGCACTCAGGGTAGATGTTACATTGTGGGGTATTGCTTATACTGACCATTTTTTTCGTTCATATTTCTCTGGGTCGCCACTTATGACTTTTGCTCGATGTTGTAAGCAGCAGACGATCCTTTTCTTTACACTGAATGGGAAGTTGAAGTTGACATACTGTCTAGTGAATGTTCGCTTGCAGTATATGGATATCTTGAACATATCTGTTCGAGATATTAGTACATCCAGGAACATGAGTTTGTTGTCAATTTCTCTCTCGATTGTGAACTGTAGTGATGATCTTATTGAGTTCACATAGTCCAGTAGTAGCTGGACCTCTTCCTGGTGTGGCCAGAGTATGAAGGTGTCATCTACATATCTCAGCCATAGGGTTGACTTTAGTGATGTGGATTCTAATGTCATTTCTTTGAAATATTCCATGTATACATTTGCTATTGCTGGCAATAATGGTGAGCCAATTGCTAAGCCTTCATCCTGTCATTATATATCTGACACCATTCCAAAGTGTGTTCTTTGTGTATAGAAAGTCAGCATCTCCATCAATAGTGAGGAACAGACTGGCCTCGAACCCCTCCCTAGGAGAACAGACAAGTATGCCAATAGAAAACTTGATAAGCAAAATGTATACAATACATGGAATATTTTGAAGAAATTGTATTAGAATCCACATCACTATGGCTGCAAGAACATTGTAAAGCTGTAACATGAGGGGGGGAATAAAAAAAATCAGGTGTAGCTCACCAGGAAAAGGAAGATCACTGTTCCCTGTGGGATTAGGTTGAAATAATGGAAATAACTGAAATAATGAAAAATATGAAAACTGAAGGAATCAGCACATGTGCAAGGCCACAAAAATCTCTTGAGCCGACCAAGCATAGAAATGAATACAATATGGGAACCAGTAATAAGGAGTGCTAGAGAAAAAGCAATAATAACAATGAAAATTGCAATATGAGCTCTGGTAAAAAAACAAAGAATGATAACAATAAAAAATTGCCCTCCAATATACACCTGGGGAAGGCCAGAAGGCTGAAACATTCTGATAACAACAAGAAAGATAAGGACAATAGTTCAAATATAAAGAGTGTAAATGATATAAAGTTGTCTTAAAAACAAGAAATTGATATCTGTCTATATTTCTGGAGATGAGCTATTGTAATTATTTACATTATTCCGAATGTTGTCCTCATCTTTATTGCACAACGTTTCAGAAAAGGGAGATCACCCCAACTCATGGGATTAGGTTGAAATAATAGACAGAGAACATCACTGAAAAATATGAAGACTGAAGGAATCAGCACATATGCTAGGCCACAAAAATCTCCTGAGCCGACCAAGCATAGAAATGAATACAATATGGGAACCAGTAATAAGGAGTGCCAGAGAAAAGTGATAATAACAACAAAAAATGCAATATGATAATGTATTAACAAAGGTATACAACTGACTAGACAATAATGTGTGTAACAAGTGAATGTGAAAACCTTTTTGTTTTTGGGTGCAAAGTACGTGCAGTGAGTAAATGTGCATGTGTGTATGTTTGTGTGTATTGTTCATGCATTTCCCAAGGGGAAGCACGTTCTCTGTGAGAAATTTACATGTTGATGAGTAAGCGGAAAAGTAAGAAGACGGAAAAAAAAATATTGCTGAATATAGTAATAGAAAATATGTTATATATATATAGTAATAAAAAATAGTCTGGAAAGCGTCCTCTAGTAGTGGTTTCAAAAATTAGGAGGAGGTAACCCAACAACCGTAAGGCATTTGTCTGGCTGTCTTGAGGCAGGCATGCATGCATTCTTGAGAGGTAAAACATATACAGGAAGTATGAAAAAAAAATTATACAAGATCAATACTTGAGAAAAGAAAAGCCCGAACTTTTATAAGCAAGAAGAAAGATTATAAAAATTTGGTTGTGGAAATATTTGTGAAAAGTGATAGTGACCTGTAAACAAAACAAGAAAAAAAAACTAGTAAGATTTGTGAAAAAAAATTTTATTTGAAAAATCTTTCATAAAATAAATTCATCATTGAAGTTCAATGAAATTTTTGGTACTTCAAATAAATGACAACATCTTTTTAAAGAAATTTCTTTTTGAAAAAAATTCCAGAATGCACACTGCACAAGCAACAAATGAATGAGATTTGAAGCAAATAATACTCAAAGAATAAATGCAAAAGAGAGAGAAAAACTGAATGTCTTTGAAATGTCAGAAGATTTTAATAGAGAATGCTGGGATATCACATACTTTTCATGGAACCAGAATGTGACACAAGTTTTACATTTTGGAACTTTTTTAGCCTGATCCTTTGCTCTGGAGATCATTTCATTTAAAGCTAGAATTCCAAGAAACCATATTAACAAAAAAACTGGCTTTCCTTTTCTTTCTGACTGGTAATTGCAATTAATATCAAGCCTCAGTATTTTCATACAATGAACACCTTACTATTAATTCATACTATACTACCCATAAACTAATTGGATTTCTTTTAAAACAGTTCATGACAAAATCTGAGGTAACAATATAACCAATTTTATTATTAACTAGCTTAAAAGCCATACTGCAGTGGGCTAATTGGTTCAAAAGTAAAGGGACCTCTGGTCTAGCTTAGAAAACAGCAATGATAATTTTGAAGAAATAACTTTGAATTCTTCAATTCACTCCATGAAACTTCAAAACCTCACTTTAACTATGATTTGGGCTATAAGTCCTATTCTGGCCCAAAAAAAACAATTTGGGCCAAAATTCTAATTCAGGCTGAGAATTGAGTTCTTCAAATCATAAATTCTGTGGAACTTCAAAAATTCATGTTATGAAACCTCTCAGTTTAATTCCTTGGCATTTTGAAGAAATAAAATTTCCTCAATTCAAAAAGTTTTGGAGATATTTTAAACTGAATTTTAAAACAAAATTTTCTCAAAAAATTTTGTGTTACTTTAAACTCAATATAAATTAAAAACTTTTAAAATCACTAATTTTTTTTCAGTTATTTTAAGATTTGAATTTTTAACTGTTCACTTCTCATCCAGACACAAATTCCTGTGTTGAAATGTGTCACAAAAAAAAAAAAAAAAAAAAAAAAATTTATCTCTCCCCTACTGTCATAGCGACAGACACAGTCTCCATTTCTGAGATGAACTACCCTCCTTCTCATTCCAGCCCTTTACATAGAGCTTGGTAACTTGTCCATGCAAAACACTAACAAGCCACCTACCAATCACAGTTTCCACACATGCCCACCTCCACTCGTTTTGGGGGTGTCAAGTTGACCGACCAACTCATTACAGTTCCAATGCTGGATGTGCAAGAATCAGATGAAGGACAGATTTTTGATCCTGGGATCATCTGGATTCCAAAAAGTTATGATATGTTTATGTAGATATACTGGAACACACCTATTCTATAGTTAATAGACTCTCCCACCTATAATAAGTGGGAGTAGTAGCAGTTGCTAAGTCAGTAGCTCAGTGAGTTGGTCAGTCAGTCGATGTCAGACACTAAGAGTATCAGCAACCACCACTAGATTTCTCTGCATCATTACCTATTATATCAAGTTTTTAACGTTTTGTATGTCGAACCTTTTTTAGGACCGACATAGTGAAATACAAGCCTCCACTGTGAAACTACTCTATAACAGTAGAACAAGTATGACCTAAGTGAGAGGTGTTTCAAACAGACAGAATTTGCCGTATATTTATTTAGATTATGCATATTTTAATTTTGTATTTGTAATAATTATTATTATTCACATTATACAATATTGCTTAGATCAAATGCAATACGAAATTAATAAGAAAAAGTTTCCTTTTTTTTTTTAGAATAGAATTGCAAACTGATATCACACTAAAGGTCTTTCCAGTCAAGTAATAGTAGCTCCGAGGATGATAATTTATACCAATTTTAGTATTTACCATATTGTAATTTTCAAAGGTAAAGGTTATTAAAAAACAAAACAAACAGTAATCATCTGTTTAGAGAAATTCATATTTGTAGAAATAACACAGTATAGATGCCTTCTTTTTGTGCACAAAGTTTCATTTTTTTTCTAGCTAATTTTTTCAAAATAATTATTATATTTTTTATTATACTTACTTACATTTATTTCAAAATATGTAGCAGCAGCAAAGCAGCATGGATCTATTTATTTAGTCATATAACAATTTTCCATCCATAGAGATTACATTTTGCAATGACACACCCACACAGCCTCTTCATCTATCAGGTAGCTGTCAATATCTGAGATATTTGTTTATGAAAAAAGTTCTAATATAGTTAAGTGAATTGTATAACTATATGTTGTGTTATATATATTTAAATTTATTCTATAATGTTATTATAAAATATTATAATGAAAAGGATGGATTTTTTATTTATTAATCTGACAGATTTTATTACTTAAATGTTTATTTTTAGTGGATACTCATATTTGAGTAGATGTTCCGTTTATTTATTAAACAATA